ATATAGTTCAAGTCAAATACATATACATATGTATATTCATGTTTGGGGAAAGATCTAGCAAATGCACACGTGCGCCGCTAATTGCAGTCGCAGCAGAGTTGTCGAACTAAGCGTTGAGCTGGGTTGCCATGCTCAATTATGAGTGCTGAAAATATTAACATGATTTTATAAATTTAGAGTGGGAAATCTGTGCAGGCGAATCCAAGCGGGGTCGATGGCAGCTGCAAAGGTTGAGAGAGAAAGTTCTCTGGGTACTATAGTCTGAGAAGTTGAACCTTGTATGTTGTATAAATCTAAAACAGAGCATATTATATTATAAAACATATTTCAAAGTATTTCTTCATTTCCAATTGAAAATACAAAAGATTGGCAGCCCTGTTGGATATCTAGAAAGGAAATGATAAGTACAGCAACACTTACCTACGCGAAGGGTGCATCCTTTTACGCATCAACAGTTTTTATAGTTGTTTGGCCTATCACTTGGTTTATACGCTCGAAATTTCTTTGGAAATGTTGGGAGCGAGCAGAGAGGAGGGGGCGTTACTCTGCCACGCAGTGAATCACTTTTAGGGCGTGTAACCAAAGTGCATCTGTGTGCATGTGTGTGTGTGTGTGTGTGTGCCTCACATTGTAATTTATGCATTCGTGTAGGTAATGAACTTGGAATTTATACGCAAATACCATGTAATTTGCTCATTAACAAATTGTTATAGTTTAGGCTTAGTACATGCATTTTGGGGCTCATTAGCTGGGCTGACCTTACCTTTTCGAGTGTTGCTGAGCACTTGAACTGAAACAGATTGTACTGACTACTCATGTCCTTTGCACGCCGTTCTCGAACCACTTCAATTTCCCACCCCTGTTCCAGCGCGTTTGGAAGGCGTCTCATGTGTCCCATTATAACTCAATTTTCCATTTTCAATTGCGTATAATTTTATTTTTGACATATTAAATTAATATTGACACATTGACAGCTGCTGGTTCGTCAAATTTGCCGACAGCCTGCCAAAACAAACTCCCACCCGGCCCGCTCTAACAGTCCATTACGAAAACTATCAACGACCATGTCCGAGTCTCAGTCTCTGTCGCTGTCTTTGTCTCTGTCTCTCTCGGCGTCTCAGTTTTGACGAGCGGCTGTCGCTGTCGACCACCCGCTGACAATGTTCTGTGCTGCGATCAA